CCTGTGCGCCGGGGCGGGGCGGGGCTGGCCCAGGTTGTTGGCGGGCGCGCACAAATGCCCCGGCGGGCGCCATGGCGCCCGCAGGCACCGCATTGGGGACCACTGAGCTAAACTTTGGAAAAAATGCATTGTCACCCCTTTAAGGTACAGTATAGTTACACAGATTTTATACTGCTTACAGTTAATGAATCATGCCTATAGTCCTCTTGGAGGAGAGGTTTTGTCTAGTACAACTGAAATGCTGTTTTGCTGGCCGTAGTAAATTAGCTTTCATAACCACAGCACGTGTTTCTGAAGGTGAGCGGTGCATGATCTAGCGGTTATATATTTTGTTTTCTACTGCTTGTCTTTCTCTATGGATACTGTCATTAATCTGCTTTAGGATCCTGAGACTCTTGGCAGGCTCTCAGACACACAGTCTAGGAATCTTACTGTGAGAGCCTTGGGAGGGGAAAAACTTTCAAGTAATCGTGGAGGCGGGGGAGATCCCATATTTAGGAAAATAATTGTGTGCCTGTTGAATTGTATTGCGCATGTTAATGTGTTCTCTAGGTTAGTATTTACAATGAGATGTTTGATAACTTTGGAGGTAGGGATGTAAAATCCCATTTATTTAGTTAACTGGTTAACCTTAACATTTAACTGGTTAATTGATTAAACGGGGGATGGGAAGGAGAGACTGCTTCAACCCTGCTGGCTGCCAGCCCACAAAAAGCCGGAAGTGGCAGCCCTGTGCGGGGACTTGGCAGTGCTAGAGCAGCTGCCTGCCTGCAGTGGGCCGCTCCCCAGGTACTGTTAAATGGTTATCCGGTAAGCATCACCCGGTAAGGCATTTCCAGGATATTTCTTATGTGACTAGCCTTATACAGTTTTGGAGTGAGAGCCGGTAGTCCGTCGGGTCAGATGTCACAAGACCAGTGTCGGGAGAGAGAAAAGTGTGCATCTAAAAAAATCATTTGTATACAGAACATTCCCCTTACCATTGCTTGGTAGGGCATCCTCAACCAAGCCTTTATTGTAGATAGTTGCAGGGGATGTTTGAGGATATATCAAATAAACGTGTTCACTAGTCATGTTTGAATTCCACAGGGAAGTGACTGATGGAAAATCCATAGTTCAGCCACCAGTCTTAAACTAGAATATCAATTTAATCTTGCATAAAATGGACGCTTTCATTTGATGTTTCCTTATACAGGTTGAATCTCTCTGGTCCAGCACTCTCTGGTCTGCAACATCTCTGGTTTGGCATGATGTGAATTAGCCGGATGCCCACTTAGCATGGGGATGGCTACGTTTCCCGCTGTCCCGTAAAGTTTGTTACAGCCACAAGTCCTGGCTCTGTGTTCTGTGCTGTTGTTTTTCTCTAATTCACCCCTAAATGTCTCGTGGTTTGGCAAATTCTGTATTTTGACACTGGTCAGGTCCCAAGGATGTCACACTAGAGAGGTTCCGCCTGTAGTCAGCATCTCACTTAGAACGGCTAACCAGCTGGATGTTTTACCTCTGATGGAACAATTGCTATAGTTTATTTCTCTGGACAAAGTGCTGAGCCCCTCCTCCTCCCCCCCCCCCCCCCCCGCCGCCCACTCCTCTCATCATGATTTTTGTCCCTCCTTTAATTTGCCCTAAAACTGCTTGCTTGGGGGAGATCCAACTTCATGTCTCGCTTCCCATCCGCTCTTGTCAAATAGTTTGACTTGAACTCAGTCATGTGGGCAGAAACAGAGCCCTGTTTATTTTCTATGGATGACACATAAGCAGTGTAGATTTGCAGTCCACATGAGTAAAATTTGCTATAAAAGAAGCTGAGTCATTTCAATAGATTTCTCCTATCCCGTCTTGAGCTCGTTCAGTCAGAGTTGTGACTACTGCTTTGGCAGAGAAAATATTTTCATCTAAAGAGTTTTACAAAATGATCTACTATAACCGTCTTTCTCCTTTATTGAACATTTATTAAGCTTAGCTTGGGCTCTACCAGGGCTGCATGCCTATGTCTCACAGTAGTGGAAAGCTCTGGGTGCCCCCTGCTGTGTTTTTTTTTTCCCCATCACAAGTATAGGAAATTTTCTAATGAACCATTCAAAATGTTTAAATAGGTGAAATTGACGTATAGGAGCCCACTGTATGCGTGATGAGAAATGATTGGCCTAAATCATTTCTTGTTCTAAGCAGAAACATTATTGAAAATTTACTCAGACCACTTATTTTATACTTGGATAATTTGACAAGCATTTTGTTAGCATTAGTGTTTTCCAAGGTGTTACATGTTTGAAATGGAGATAACTGTAGAAAATAGCTCTGAAGAGGATTAAGAATTTTATGTAAACTTAAATTTACAAACTTTTTCATTGTTTTTCAAACAAAGATGGGCTCTTCTAGAAATATAAGCATATCTGAGGAATTGCCAGGATTTCTTATGGAGCATGAGATTAAAAATACAGCATCTGTAATATTGAATACTAAATTAGAATTTTGGTTGCAATTTTGAATATTTAGAGGAGAGTGGAGTGGTTGTTTTCCCCTTCACAATGGAAATATCTTGATCAATGTTGCTGCAGGATTTTCACGAAGCATCTGCCCACTTTGCTTCTTTATGACAAGTTCCCATTTCTCAGTGAACTTCTTTGTATAGCCAGAGGCTAGCTCCTTAGTACGCTAAGAATTGAAGTACATTTTTATGCCCTCTTTATTCCTTTGGATTCAAAGGCTTACTTCCGAACAGATGCTACACTGTGCAAAAAGGGCATGATGCGGTATTGCTAGCTACCTATCTATGGCTAGGGTTACATGCTAGTATGTTGAGCTATGCTGAGTGCAGGAGTGGGCCAGATCTCATGGGCTGGATCCTGCCTGCCACCATCCTTCAGCCCAGCTGGATCCTCGGGAAGGCTCCCTTCCTGTCATGCCCTTGCACACAGCACAAAGCAGCTGGCTGTGGGACCCTGTGTGTGTCTGCATCACGCCCTGCTCAGTCTCCATCTATTGCCCCCACCCTCAACGTAATCTTGTAGCTCCCATTGGCCAGAAACCAGCCAACGAGAGCTCCTGGGCAGTTCTTGCAGTTAAGACTTTCTCTGCTTGCTTGCTTTTGGCTAAAAACATTAACCCAGTTTGAAAGACTTTCCTAGTGCAGACTTAAAATGAGATTGAGAACTCATGTGTAATTGGTTGAAAATATTACACATCATAGACCTATCCTGGAAAACGATCCCTCACTCTCACAGGCTTTGGCAGACAGACAACCACTCCTACATCACCACTCAAATACTCACCCAGGAGCCTACTCCTGCAGCAACCCCATTGCCAACTCTATCCTCACATCCATACAAGCGACACCATCCCATGACCTACCCACATCAGCCACTACATCAAGGGCTCATACAGGTGCCAATCCTCTAATGTAATACATGCCATCAAGTGTTAGCCATGCCCCTCTGCCATGGACATTGGCCGAATTGGACAGTCTCTGCGCCAAAGGATAATTGGACACTAATCAGACATCAGGAATAGGAACACACAGAAACCAGTAAAGGAACATTTTAATTTGCAAGGACACTTAATCACAGATTTAAAAGCAGCCATTCTCCTGTAAAGGAATTTTGCTATCCAGTTACAGAAAGAGGCTGCTGAACTGGAATTCAAATTCATCTACAGATATGACACTGTCAGCCTGAGCTTGAATAAAGACATTAAGTGGTTAACGTACTATCAAACCAAGTTCCACTGCTTTTGAGATTCACATTTCCACATCAAAAGCTATGAACGGGGCACATCCAGCCCACGGAATTAGTTTCATTAACACAGGTCCCACAATTGACTGGTAACTGCTTTTGCTGTTTGTATATATCTTGAATTCTGTTATCTCCATTCCAGTTCATCCGAAGAACTGGGTTTTGCCCTTGAAAACTCATGATCTTATATATTGTTTAGTCTCTAGGGTGCCACAGGACTGCTAGTTGTTTTTATCATGTTCCTTGTCATGTTTAGTTTTTGGGAAACGGTGGTGGGAGGGGAGGTGTTTCCAAAAAGAGGGGGCACGTTTTGCTTTTAAATGAAGCTGCATTGACAAACCAAGATTGAGGCCTTTTACAATATGAAATCTGAGACATGGGGTTCTTCATTCAGGCTTTGTGGTTTCTGGAATATCGTTTTTAAAGCCAAAGCTACATTTCCTATTGAATGGGAATAAGTTGATCATGTTCTGGGTTTGCTTTTAATTTTGCAGTGGATGTGAACACAGCACTGCCTTTGCAAGTTGCACCAGCTTCAGTCCCCATGGATCTCCGCTTGGACCACCAGTTTTCCATGCCAGTGACAGAACCTACACTCCGAGAACAGCAGCTCCAGCAGGAACTCTTGGCTCTCAAGCAAAAACAACAAATTCAGAGACAAATCCTTATAGCCGAGTTTCAGAGGCAGCATGAGCAACTCTCCCGTCAGCATGAGGCCCAGCTACATGAGCATATCAAAGTAAGTGATTGAGCAGTGGGTAGAAATACCAGGTTAAAAAAACCCAGATGTTCTAAATGTAGATGGACTTGTTTGAAAGGAGGAGTGGTGGGACTGGGTTTTCTACACGGGGGGTAACATGTCTGTAGGTTTGGCACAGGAGAACCAAGCACGAATTTTTAATGAGATTTTAAATGTATTTGGGTACCCAAATAAGTGTCCTGCCTTTGAAAAGTGCACAACTCCCTTCCGTTTACATATTTAGAGGCCTAAGTATGGATATGGGAGCCTACATTAAGGATTTGGTTTTTGACACAGAAACCCTCTTATTGGCTATAGGCTATTGAGACTAGAACTTGTAGGAGACAAATGTTACTTGTCTAATATCAAAACATGTCAGTTAGCTGCCAGAAATGTTAAGGGAAAATGTTTTTTATGTGATATGATTCCAAACCCTATCTCTCCTGATAGGTGCTTTATGTAGCCAATATTTGTAACATTTTGTAGGAAAGTTAAAGGAAAGATGGGGTTTGAGTATGATTGGGACATTAGTGTCTATTTTTAGGGATAGTCATTGCAGTTTATTTTCCTATGGCTTGTAAGCTTTTAGGCAGGGACTGTGAATGGAACAATGGCAGGAACAATTTTCGGTAGCGGTTAGTATCACGCCACGAATTAAGCCAGCAGGGCTCTTATCTAGTCTTTCAAGCTATTGAGTGTTAATGGTGCTAAAATATATACAGGCTGACCCTCTCTATTCCAGCACTCTCTGGTCCGGCAGCATCCATGGTCCGGCAGGATTTTAGTTAGCTGGATGTCCACTTATGAGTGTTTCCTGTGATCCCATAAAGTTTGTTTACAGCCACCAGTCTTGGTTCTGAGTGTCCTGTGTTGTTGTTTAGCTCTAATTTACTTCTAAATGTCACTAGCAGCCCAGTAAGCAGAGTTGGTCATGCTGCTAGACAGTATTGACCGCCTATGGTTCTACATATTCTCCGGCTCTGCACCAGTCAGGTCCCGAGGGTGTTGAACTAGAGGTTCAATCTGCATTATTATGCACATAAGGGATCTCTCTCCGCTGAGCGCCATACATGCCCAAGTTCAGTGAAAACATACTTGTGCTTCTGAGCTAGAATGGGATCATGAGTCTGTTGGAATATCAAAGTTACGATTTCTGAGAAGTCCTGACACAGGTTTATTAGGACGACTGATGTCAATTTCTCTGCAGGATGATGTAATTGAAATATTTTAAAAATATTAACTGTAGTCAGAGTCATTGCAGACAGTGTACCAAATTAAAGATTTGTCTTCACGCCATATGGAAATACAGAAAACTGTCTTTCACAACGACAGCAACGCTTCACAAATTGCTGAAAGTTGACATCTGGAAAAAGTTCAAGAAATAAGTTGAAGGCTGTTCTCTACTGATGGCTCCTGAGGACTTGCTACAGCACAGAGGGAAATGTTTGTATCTGTAGGAATGATGGGAAAGAAAGGAATTAAGGAGATGGCGTATCCATATAAACATGCTTGGCAAGCAGTGTAACATTTGTAATCCCCGCTAATCTACCTCACTAAATGCAAACCACTAAAGCAAAGGAATAGCAGGCATGTGAATGGGGCCTCGGAGGCCAGAGCAGCTTGCCGTGCCATCAGTCTTTCCAGTAACTTCACTGGCAGTTCTGTTGAGATTTTGTCTGTGAAGAGCTTGGTGCTGAATGTCTCGCTTTTCAGTCTCCAGTTCCGATCCAGACCCAGGGCTCTTGCCATTGGCATTCTGGTCAGTGATTTAAGTGACAGGATTGAGGAGTCTGCCTAGTTGTTGGACACAGGGATTTATACTCCCAAATCTACCACAGCGAGCGCTAAGTGATGGATCTATGGGGAGGGTTACCGAGAACTCCATGCACATGGTCTCCCCTTTCCCTTCTCCCATACAGCTGGCTCTCCAGGTCAGCATTCAGCTACTTTGGCAAGGCAGTCTCAGGTAGCTTGCACAGCCACTGCCCATGCTGTACTGTCTCTGGTTTTTGGCTAGGCAGAGGACTTCGCTTTCAGTCCTGTTAGGCTGGCATTTCCATTGATACTAAATGATATGCACAGAGCTTCTCTTCTAATGGTGGGACAGAAGATATTGAGACACACACACAGGTAAACACCTGTAACTGTGCGGCCTTGTGTGTGTGCATTCGATTCACGTTTCAATTGTATGATCTCATACTGTTTCTCAAATAAAGCTGTACTTCCCCTCAACGATCTCACATACCGATGGGTGCTTTTTCTACCAGCGTGTACTATGTTGTGTATACGAGTGTTCACAACATTAATTTATATACAAGGTTCCCAGTCAATGAGACAAGCAGTTGCAGTGATCACAAAGACTTTGATGACGACTTTGATTAAAATTCCAAGTGTTGATCTGCTACAATGTGTAACTCAGAATCGTGATTCCAAAGCAAATTCCTTTCTTTTCAGCTGTTTATTTTCTAAATTACCAGTGCCATATATAATATGATGACATTATATCCCTTCCCTCCCCCCAAAAAAGAAACACAAAAGAAAATCAGAGTAAGTGAAGGAAACATCCTCCTTTTAAAACAAGTATTATCATTTACACAGTCCTTTCAACTATTGTTTACATTATCAGTGCTGTGGTTAAGAAAGAGGATGGCTTTCGTTCTCAATCTCCATTTCTATTAGTGTTTCTCAAGCTATCTTCTAGGCCAGTGGTTCTTAACCTTACTGCAGCCTGCACTCCTTTGGTTCTCAAAACATGTTCTTGCACCCCTTCTTAGTTGAAGTAGGCCAGTTCTTTACTTAAGATATATCATAAAAATCTGGCATGTCTTGCACCCCCAGAAAGGGAATCTCTCAACCCCAGAGGGTGCATGCACCCCTAGTTAAGAACCACTGTTCTAGGCTGAAATTTTTATTGGTGTTCTAAATCCAAAACCCAGGTGTTTGAGAACATAGAATGAAAATCTGACTGTTCAATGTTTTGCGACTAAAGGAAAACACTGGTAGGGAGTCTTTTAGATATATTTGAATTAGATGCTTTCCCTGGGGCATCCTCCCCCCCCTTCCCTCCCCGGACACCTGGGGGCAGGAGGCTTTGGCTTGGGGCAGTCCCAGATAGGGTGCCTCCTCCCCAAGCCAGCCCCTTTCACCTTTCTGGTGATTGTTTCTTTCCTGTATGGCTTGCTGAGAAGCAGTCCTATTCCTGGCACACCCCATTTTCCTGGCACAGCCAAACCCTTACGTTGCTTTTAAGTTATGGGAAGAGGAGAGCTCTCTTTCTATCCCCTTTCTAACCCCTCACAGGGGGACTAACCACCTGACCCAACCTCCCCTGCCTATTGTACTCCACTCCCCATGCCTAGCTGGGCTTCCGGCATGGACCTGCCTCTCCTGCTACCTGGCACTGCATCTTTTCAAGCCTCTGTGCGTAGAAGCATGCAGGGTCATATTATCCGCTCCCTCTGCCCCGCAGCTATCTGCTAGGGCTCACGCCAGCAGCCTTTTGGCAGCGTGCAGCATCTCCCATCCAAATTAGAGTGTTTACTCGTTGTTTACTATGTGAATCCATAGAGCTGAGGATTTGATATCGCTTTCGGTGTATTAGAATTCTAGAGTAAAGAGCATTAGAAAAAGAGTACTTTGCAATTCTCACGAATTTTCATCTAAAATCTGTTACCTGCTTTCTTAACTGCATAAAGGAAATTGCAGTCTGCCAGTCAGTGTGGCTTTTGGTAAGAGGTTCTCGAGCCATGGTACATAGCCAGCCCTAGAATTCGATCTTCATATTCCTTGGTTCCTCCTTTACCTATGCAGAGCCTCTGAGCTTTTACCTCTATTTCTCCTTTTCCTCCTGAGTATTATCTCTGCTGGCCAGACCCATTCTACGCACTGATTGCCACACTGGAGAGAGCAGTTTCTTACTTGCTAATTGGCCTTGGTGATCTAGTAACACCAGCTTGTACCCTGACTGAAGGATTCTCCACTGGGTTTCTAGCTAGACAATGTGGGGTCATCTGAAGAAATTTACTCTCCAGCTCTGGAAGCTCTCAGCTAGGATGAAGCGATTTCCTGCTGGAGAGACGAAGAGCTGGGTGCAGTGACCTGGTGTGGCTGCCTGTTGCCCTCGAGATGAGGGGCAGAATGAATGTGCATTCTGGGATTGCCACATCACGGGAACTGAGGACTGTGGTGTTTTGCGCTGTATTTTCAGTTTTTGGCTGGACTCGCTGCTTGACACTCTGAACCTCACAGATTCGCAACACTTTCTCTTTTTGCCAGTTCAGCCAGTTACCTCATCCTAGCAACCTGCACTCCTGAAAGAAATCCACCATAAAACTAAAACAGGAGATGGAAGAGCCTCCAAAAAGGCTCCTGAAATCAGAGCTGATAGCCTGACAATTCAGTAAACAAGGAACTGGAAACTTGAAATAAGTCAAAGCAGCTAATATTCATGCTGAAGACCTTTTAAAAAAAACAAAACAAAAAGCCTCCACTTAGACAAATCACCCTGTGTACAAATAGTTCCCCTTCAATCACTATACTTTGTTGGCTTGCAAAGTTTCATCTTAACAATTTTGTTAATTTATTTAGCTTCTGAGCTTAAAGGTTTAGAATACATATATTGTGCCAAAAAGCTGTAGAATTTTCACAGAACATTTTGCATGCAGATAACACAAGCAAATAAATATCCTGTTAAGGAGTGATTGCCAAAAAACCAAAAATAAACCTTATATAACTTCCAAAAGCAGCTATGTGCACATCCCTGCTGATGCTTAGCTTTATTTTAAAAGTTCCTTGGGGAAAGGGACTCTATTATTATCTTGTTCAGATCCAGGCACATCGTTGGTGTTTAAGGACCCCCACAGCTGCCCAAAACTTAGTCTTATTGAACTGTCAAAGTATCTGGATGAACCTGAGTTCCTTGGCTTTTTGCACTAGGGTCCAGTGTTTGATTCCTACTCAAGCACCCTAAGTCTTTTGTGGTTTGACACAGCTTCCCTAAA